GCAAATACTGCTTTTCACCCTCGGTGCATTACACATGTGAGAGAATCGATTTTGTACTCGCTTTTATTAAGGAAAAAATTTAGGAAACATTTTGTTCTGCAATAGTACTAGTGAGACAGCAGGGGTCACTGCTCACTACAGGGGAAACATCCTGGTGGCGCACTCGTTTTTAAGCCGTTTTGTGTGAAATACCTTGAGTGCATTCAAGGACTCTTAGCCATTTTCTGAGGGCGAGAACATATTTTATATTGGGATTGGGAGTTCAATTCGCTTTTTCTGTGTTCTTCCCATAAAACTGCAAAAAATTAATATCTCGAGCAGGTTGTATCAAAAGAGACCGTTTTATATTGTTTTTGCAACATTAAAAAACATATTAACACCATTTTGTTGCAGCGTTACAACTCTTTATATAAGCTACATTACTGGTCACCTAAGTGGTCAGAGTTGTACTTTCATTTTATTTATTTATTTGTACATTTCATATAAATATATTTTCTTTTAGCGATTGACTAATGCGTTTCCCGTTTTATGTAACGCATAAATAAATAAAATCATTGCCTTGCTGGTAGTCCTCCGCGTCGCTAGCGGCGCTCAATCTCAGACCTCTACAGAGCTCAGCTTTCTACTTCCGGAAGCTTTATTATCAATGATTTTGTCACTTGAGAGAGATTAAACACTATTCTGGTGTTTGTCTTTTGTTTTTGTCAAAAATGTCCTACAATTACGTTGTAACAGCCCAGAAACCTACGGCGGTTAACGCCTGCATCACAGGTAAATCCGCGCTGTTTTTCGCCGTTGTGCAGTAAGGAAACATTTGCCACCTGCATGTTAGCTTTGCTCCCGCGCTACAACTAAAGTGCTCCAAACGGGCCTGTAGTAGCCGCTAGCTCTTGTTTTGCTATGTCAACGGTTTACTTGTCACATAGGTTCTGCTCGTTTGTATGCGTGTCTCAACACACACACATCTCTTGTCACGTCTGTTTTAACATACACACGGCAGACGTTTTTTTTTTCTTGCTTCTTCTTTTTGATGTAACGTTAGCTGTGTCCTGCACGTCAGTTGCAGCGGATCAAAATGCGCTTCCTCTGCTCACACACATTAGCATATCACACAGACTTAGTGCCCCACTTAAAACGAGTTAAGCTAGATTAAGTTTTCGTTCATTTGACTCACAAAAACCGTGATCCATTAAAGCTCATAGAGACGCTTATGCTGCTGTCTTTTTGTATTTCAGGCTAGACCAATAGGAATTCTGTAACATTAAAGTTACAGTTTGACATGCACTCGTGAAATGGCTGCGTAGGATGCATCATCTCTTCATGTTCACTCTCTTTTTATTTTTCATGGCGATAGTAGAGACCTCGAGATGATATGAGGTGACGAATTGAGATGAATGCTCACGTGTAATAGTCTAGACGTGAAATCTACTTACAAGTTACTTTCATTGTTAAGCAATCTGATAATTGATAGTGCCAAGTGCAATCAGAGTGTAAAGATGTTTAAAGAACTTACGAAATTACTATTTTTCATGGTAGGACGTTGATTGCAGCACTGACTCTGACACAGTTACCTTTGTTCGAGTAGATAATGGAATGAACCAGTTTGGCCAAGATATATTATTTTAGACCATTTTGAACACAAGTAACTGTTAACGATTTTCCTTTATTTCCTTAAATTAGAACACTTGAGCAAGTTGAATAATTTCCTTGTAAGTTATTTTTAAGCTGCTAATAGACTTAGTAATTTGGCTAAAGACTAAAGAAGACATTAAAAATCAGCAGCTAAGCTGATATGTAAATGTATTTGAGAAGCACCAGAATATTTATGCCCCAATTTACTGATATTTGTGGACATTTTTCATTTCTCTGTGTACCCACTACTCTCACATTAAAACCAGTGTATTGAACATAATGTAAACATTGGTTTTCTGCAGGTCACTTCACCTCTGCTGAAGACCTCAACTTGCTCATAGCTAAAAACACACGTTTGGAGATCTATGTGGTCACAGCAGAGGGCCTGAGGCCCGTCAAAGAAGTGGGCATGTATGGCAGAATTGCTGTTATGGAGCTCTTCAGGCCCAAGGTAAGAAGTTTTGTGTGCAGTCGGTAACACTTTGAATTATTTTTCCTGCTCGACTAGTTAGTGGTCTGGTTATTTAATATATATTTAACTGCACCATAAATGATTTGTGCTGTGGTGTGTTTCTCAATCATCTACAAAGTTGGTTGGAGAGTGCAAATTTTGCCTCTCAAAAATAGTGAAAGTCTGCACATTACAAACAGGATATGACACATGCAGACAATGTCTTCTAATCAGGCTCACAGAGGCTGATCGGGTGTATAACATGTAACTCTGGTGCCTTTTTCCTCCTCATTCTTCAGGGTGAGAGCAAAGACCTGCTGTTCATTCTTACATCTAAGTACAACGCCTGCATCCTAGAATACAAACAGACTGGGGAGAGCATTGACATCATCACCAGAGCCCATGGCAATGTCCAGGTGAGATAACAAAACTAATATTGTTATAGACACGAGCCACATTGTAAGGACATTAATCTATTTGTTATGGTGTGTTCATATGAAGGCCAGTATGTATTTTGTTCTTCTTGGTTGAATGCAGCAGTTCACTCTTTTTTAGCTCCACTACATTCATATTAATTTAGACTGTTTTAAATTATCCATTTGTCATTTAAATTGGTAAACAACAGAATTCTTGTATTATTTAATGTGGTTTATATCAGTGACATTTTGGACTTCTTAGACTAGAAAAGCTGGAAAATGTAACTAGCTATGTGCTACATAATGTGATGCTTTCTCATACACTCCCAGTGCTAAACAGTTCCTAACCCAATGCTGTTTTGCAGGATCGTATTGGGCGTCCGTCAGAGACGGGTATCATCGGAATTGTAGACCCAGAATGCCGCATGATTGGCCTGCGGCTGTATGACGGCTTGTTTAAGGTGATCCCATTGGACAGGGACAACCGTGAGCTCAAAGCTTTCAACATCAGACTGGAGGAGCTCCAGGTCATCGACGTTCACTTTCTGTACGGCTGCCAGGCTCCAACTGTTTGTTTCATCTACCAGGTACACGAGCAGTACAGAATGTGGGAATGTGCCGTTAATGAAACGGAAAAAAAGAATATGTTGAAAGATTCATATATCCGGGACATTTTTATTTAATTTATTTATTCCGTGAGAATGGTTTCAAGCTTATGGTAACTAAGCAATGCACAGTAGCAAAGTGCAATTAGTGACCAGTTTTATTCCATGTATTGTGTTTCATAGGACCCTCAGGGACGCCATGTGAAGACCTATGAGGTTTCTCTGAGGGAGAAGGAGTTTAACAAAGGCCCCTGGAAACAGGAGAATGTGGAGGCTGAGGCGTCAATGGTGATCCCAGGTATTTCAACTATTTAACTGCTGTGTGAAAACACAAGGATGTGAGCTATGAATTGCTAGTTCATAATGTAAGTTTAATTTACAAGTCGTGAATAATTTCAATTGTTGAATAAATTTAACCCACAGCACGACTGATAACTGGTAATGCAGAGGATATTAGCTTCTGTGCTGTAAACATCTCCAAAATAGCAGAAACTTCCCAGAATAATCACTCTCTTGCCTGTGTGCTTGTATTTTAGTCCCTGAGCCATTTGGTGGAGCTATAATCATAGGACAAGAGTCTATCACCTACCACAATGGAGACAAATACTTGGCCATTGCACCACCCACTATCAAGGTAATGATAACAGATAGCGCACTTCTGGTTTAGATATTTTGATCGTTCAGCTGTTCAAAAGAAGCTAGGTAAACATTTAAGTTGCAATAATGTAGAATTGAGTTAGACTGTGGCTGTTAGAAGCCTAAGCACCGTAAGTCTCAGCAAATAGACGATTTCTGTACCAGGGGCAGTCAAAATAGAGTTAGTTGGTGAAGTCACTTGCAGAGCGGGTAGTAGTGCCCTATCACAAGTAAGTATCCTATATCTAATTCAGTGATGCATCAAAATAGCTGTTAGTATTGGGCTGATGGAAGCAAACTAATTAAATCGAGCTTGTCTGAGAACATGAGCCCAAATCTGAAGCTTGTGTATAAAACAGTGTGAAATCAAGAGTGTGATTGTAGAGATGTCTTCAGAATCACACTTTGTGAGCATGATTGTTTTGTTATATTTTTTAAACCATAAGGTGTATATGTGCTTTCTTTTGTTATGACTCTTATCAGTGCTAAGCTTCCAATACCCCAGGGTTTTAGTATTATCAAGATTAAGTTGTAGTCTTTCTACTGGCTTTTAAAAGAACTCAAGGCCCAAGAGCCCCTCAACGGTTTCTCGCTTCTATAATTAGAGGTTGTTCTTTCCTCCCTCACTGCTCTTTAGAAGAACATTTTCATAAATTACGAAAAGAAAATTTGAAATCATTCAAATTAGGAATCGTCTAATT